CATCATTTGTGACTAATAAGGTGTATAGACATCCTAAATAATTATAAGTAAATATAATGTGTCATTATCATTACATTTGCATCATATATGGTAAATAAAAATAAAAGAAAAACTCACATGTGGTTGGTTTGAAGATGAATTTGGGACATCTATATTGTTGTTGCATTGGTCAATATTCTACAGATGTTTTGAAGTATTTATAAGTACATTGCACAAAGTAAGATAAATAAATAAAAATATAAAATATAAAAATTACATAGCTAAATAAGATTAATACCTGAGTGACGCAAGGTCGTGAAACAACTTTTGTCCTCTTTCCAATCTTCTCATGCCAAGGCTTTAACCTACCACCACTCTTTTGTACATTGTCTTTCTTTTTCAAACCCTTAACTCTTTCAAAATTTGGATCAATATCATTTAATCCCATGTCAATGGGGCCTCCACTACTTGAAGTAGTTGAGCTATTTAGTGAAATGATCATATTGTCCACTTTTACACACAAATCAGCAATACTATTACTCACAAACTCATATACAGTATCATATTCAGATAATCGAGCTGCTAATTTTACCATTCTAGGACAAAGATGTCTATAACGCGTTGATATTACCAACTTGGGATCAACCTCATTCACTATAACTTTTTTGTCTTTAGATGAACAATCCTTTGCGTCTAGCCTCCATCACACTAGTATATATCTATTGGGAATTTCCATAACATCCATCTGATGGAGCACTTTAATCGCATGACCACAAAAAATTTCAAAACTCTCAAATTTTTGACAAGTATAACGAACATTTTGTAGAGTTTTGCCTCCTAAATTATCAAATTCCATTGCAACCACTACAATATACTCTCTATCTTCTCCATTCAAACCAATCACATATTTAATTTCTCCTTCTAACTCACAGCATTTCCTTACTTGACAAGAAAGAGACTTGTCAAACTCGCCATGGAATAAGTCCAAGATAGGAGAGGTATATAGTTTCGTGGTTTGAACTAACATGGGACAACTCTTGATTTTTATTCTTGGTAACTTTTGTCTAGATTGATAAATAGCATAACTTTCATTATATCGCTTGTCTAAAACAACTTGATCGAAATAGATAAAGAATTGAACAATATTATGGTCAGATTTTAAATGCTTTTTTAATTTTGCATTCAAGCTCTCACTGAGTTGGGTGCTTCGCATACCTGCATTAAATGACCATTTCATGTACACGTGTGCCCACTTCTCTCTAAGTTCCCAAGTTTTCTTCATCCATGTATTCTCCTCCAAATTGTATTTAATAATCAAAGATTTCCAAGCTTCAACTAACTCATTTTCATCTTCATATTCGAAAATACAAGCTTTAAAGTCACTTGCAAATGTTGAGCTGCCCTTGTACAAATAGCCCAAATGCTTCAAGGCATTTTGCATTAGGTGAAAAGTACATAATCCATGAGTAATATCAAACATGATACAAGATATTCCCTTAGCCATTGCTTGATCTTGATCTGTAAAAATAGTACTAGGCTTTTTCCCCAACATTGCATGCAAGAAAGTTTCAAATAACCACTCAAATGATGCTGTTTTCTCATCATATAGTAATGCGGCACCAAAAATCATTGTCATTCTAAAATGGTTAAAGCCAGTAAAAAGAGTAAATGGTCGATACTCTTTGTTTGTTCGAAATGTTGTGTTGAATGAACAGTATCCCCAAAATTTTCATAATCCATAATCATCTGATGGTCAGCCCAAAAAATATTGGTTATCATTTCATCAACATCCAATTGAACTGCATAGTAAAAAATGGATTATTAGCTGCTTGCTTCTAAAAATATCTCAACAAAGTACCTACTTCACCATATTGCAAGTCTCTCTGGCTTTTTACACGCAAGTAGCTCTTTTGGTCTTCTCGCCTGAATCCTACAAATTCTCTCCTACTGCTTGGCTACTAGTGAGATCATGTGATGCCTTGAGTGATAAACTGGTAGCATCAGCTAATTCCATATTTATACCTTGAGCTTCAGAAACCTTTCTTTGAGATGGCATCATATGAGCACATTGAGGAAAATACATAATATAGTTATGGGTATCATCAAACTTTGTAACAACCCATTTTGATAATTCCCGATCTAAAGAGATATACATGAATGCTTTACAATTAGTTCTATTGTCTTGTCGAGGTTGTTTTACCATTTCACTTCGTTTATCTTTTTCTTCCTCTTTACAAACAAACTTTCTATTAACCATTATACCATCTTTCTTGCTTTTCATATGGTAATCTCTTCTAATACTAAGGGCTGGTTTGGGATCCACTAAAAAAGGCAAAAAGTCAAAAAGTTACTCAAAAAGTTAAAAAGTTATCACTATTCATCAAAAAAAAATATAAAAAATTTAATATATAAATATTAAAAAATAATTCAACTTTTCGGCCCATTAGCCAAACCAACCGCCAAGAAAGGGGAAAAAAATTATTTTATAAGCATTCACTAAGTGACATTGGAATAGTTGGGCCCGTGCGGGCTCACCATGGGTCTCGTTTTGATAATCCGAACCATTCAATATGTAGACATTGTCTAGTACTATATGGCTGTAAAAAATCACGTCTACCGGATATCGCTAACAATATAATCAAATCAGTTTTGTATAAAAAATGATTGGTGTTATAGTTAACAGTTGACAAAAAAAACTAACACGATCAAATAGCTATCGATATCCAATCAACGTGATTTTTTACAAACATATAGTACTCAACGAGTTCTACACATTGAACAGTTTCGATTAGTAAAACGGAACCCGTGGTGGCCCCCATGGGCCGAACAGAACCGACCAACTTATGCCTGAAAAGTAGAGAATCAATCTCCTACACACCCACTGCAGCGCTGCTTCCAACCGTACGGCCTAGACCATTACTTTATTCCCCTATACACTTATTTATACAATTTTTTAATACACATTTTTTCATAAAAAGTTAAAAAGTTAACCCAAACATCCATATTTTTTTTCTCAACTTTTTAATCCAAAAAGACAAAAAGTGCACTCATTTAGGACACCCCAAACAACCCCTAAATCCCATAATTCTTCCATATTCACTGTAGAATTGGTATGCAATTTCCTCTGACTCAAACTCAGTTCCAAGACTTGGTGTGTGCTCTTTTAACAATCTGGCATTATCTTCTATACTCTTCTCAAGTCCATCAACCTCATTAAGAACAATAATATGATAATAAAATAAAAATAGAAGTATTAATGAGTAGTACAAATGAATATATACAAAAATTAATTCGATTTTTTGCTTCAAAACCAAGATAAATGTTAAAAAGATGTACAATTGAAGCTAACAACATAATGAACGAATTTCTATTATTTTTCATAATTAATTAAAATATGCTCTACAATTAATTGTCCCTTTAACTATTTACTAATTTTTAGCCATTCCTTATAATAATATAAATATATGTACAAGTTGATTCATTACTTTCTATGTAAGTAATTAACAATTTTTTTTTTTTTTTTGGGAAGAAGTAAATAACAAATTGCATAAACTTCAATCCTAGCAAAAATAAACTTAATTTTCACACAAAAAAATAAATAAATAAAATCAAGATTTGCCTTCAAACCAACAATTTCACATCTATCCTTTGTTTTTCCCTTTTCTTTGTATTACAAGCATCACTATTACAATATAAACATGTAAGATATATAGGAAAATTTTACAAGGCACATCACTTTTGGGTTACAACTTATTATAGTATTAATTACAACTTGCTTATGATCAGTGACGAAACTAGGAGAAGATCATGGAGAGTCATGGCCCCTATTTCTATGAAAAATATTGTTTGTCAAAACACTTTAAAAATATATATATCATTTTATACATAAAATAGCCCCCAATATAGAAAATATATATATCATTCTTCTCCCAACTTGTATTATCTTTCTATTTTGCACCAAAAAGACTTATTCATCCAATTAGAGATTGCTTTTACGGTATTTAATTTATATATCATATTCTATATACATATGTGTTTGTGTATATGGTGAAAAAAAAATTATTTATCTTTTGACCCCTCTGATAATGAAATCTTCGTTCCGTCCCTAATTATCACTCATTGTGATATTAATTGTGACTTATTTTGAATATTATTTTAATTATGATTGAAAAGATCTTAGATTATTCTCTATGTGATCTTTGATTATAACTAATAATTATTGCTTTTAGTTACGACATTCATATTGGCATATAGGGTGTGGATTCTATAATAACACACACACACACATATATATATATATATATATTATACATACACATACATACATATATATATATACATAAATAATCTATAATACCTTAAACGAGAGTGATTGAGCACGTATATATATATATATATATATTATACATACACATACATACATATATATATACATAAATAATCTATAATACCTTAAACAAGAGTGATTGAGCACGAGATGGTGTTGTGAGTGAAGATTGACGATGGAGGCTGATGATGAATCACTGTAATAATGGTGCAAAAACTTTCTTTGTAGATGTTAAGTTTCTTCTTTTTTCTTAAAGTGAACCCTAAGTCTAAAATTATAATTTTATACTAAATAGAAAAACATGGTCAAAGGTTTATTTTTTATTTTTTTTTTAAAGCTTTACGTAAGTCAATCTAAACCTAATGTTATTATATAGCAAAAAAGGGCGAATTTTTGCGTGAGATTCCATTTTTTTTTTAATTATAAATTAAACGATGCCGTCGGTTGTCAATGCTGTGACAGCACCTACCCTCATCCCTTCAGAATGGGGAAGGGGGGAATCATATCTATTTAGTTAAGTGGGTGGGCTTAAGATTTAGATATTCTTTTAGAATTGGGCTTGTGATGGCTAAGTTAGATCTAATGTCGGGCCAAACCGGGCTTAAAATGACACACACACTCTTATTATATAATGTTAGTTCAGCCCAAATCCGACCCACCCTGATGTTTCTCCACCCTACTAAGAAATGCCAGATATGGAATTCTCTTTCTTTTTTCTTTTTTTTTTTTCCAGAAAGCAGAACAAACTTGCATTACTTAGGAATAGTGTTTACAGATTTTACTAGCTCATGAGATGGTTTGATCACCATTCTAGCAACCTTATATATACAAAGAAAGTACACAAAAACTTAACTAATAGCAGCATATCATTTATAATAGAAGCAACCCTCCAATTACGTTCACCCTTTTGATTAAGTCAGATTGATCAAAACTTGGCAGTCCGTAAAGATGGATACACTTAAGTTGATGATCTTTGGCCCAGCTAAGTGCATCCATTACTGCCTTTGCTTCTGCCATCAGTGGTGATGATAGACGAAGACCCACCGCCCTTGGAGCTACTTCACATTGCTGACTACTGTAGCAAATCCAAGCAAAACCAGCAGCCATTGTGTCTTTCCTCCACGAGCCATCCACTACAAAAGTCCACACCTGATAATCTGGCAGAGCAGTAAGTGTAAGAGAATTAATAACAAAACATTATTCTTGATTAGGATATGGAATTCTCTTAAAGCTAACTTCTATTAAAAATTAGACAGAATGACATATTGACAATCACGTAATATAAAAATATTTTATTATATATAACTCACATCTTTGACATAAATTTAAATCTCAATATAATAATATATTTTCTATATTATGTGATAGTTACTGTGGCATTTTTTATCTACTTTTGAACATAAATTAACTTTAAGAGTAAATTGAGAAAAACTTGAAACATGAAAAGTCAAAGTGGAAAAAAACAAACTTTAAGGGCCAAATTGAGAAAGTGGTCAAACATAAAGGGGGCAAAGTGTAATTTATCCATATATTAAAATATGTTTTGTACATAAGGGCTAATAAATTGCCCATCTTATAAAGTAGAAATAAAAGATGATTACAAGAAAGTAAATAATCTAAAGTGATATCAGCAATCGGGGAGTTAAACAGTAGATAAAATGAATCAGGAAGAAACAGGCTGCTCAACATGGTAGAATGAGTTAAAAGTTCATAACTTAAAAAAAACAGAAGTCAATGCCAGTAAAGTTTTCAGCCTGAAGTTAACAAAAATCCCGCAGCATCTATCTTCAAATTGTACTGGCAACTAAGTTAAATTTAATTGTTTTCATGATCTACATATAGGTCATATAAGCATCTCTAGAACAAAGATAATGACAATAAAAAGAACAAAAAGCCTTCAAGTCTTGAAAATATGATGTGGGTAGGAAAATAAATAAACAAATAAATAACTCCCATCCAAACTGCTAAAAAGGACATGGAAAGTGTAATGATAAAAGTGTCAATAACTGAAAGTTTGTGGCTTTTAGGGAATCCATATGGAAGATAGATAGCGATACAAATGATTCGTCCACCTAGACATGATTTCACCACCTTCATTCTCCTACGCACAACTCTTATCTCCTAACTCCAATCAATTTCAATCTGTCCACCTCAATTAAATAAATAAAATAGTGAATCCAAGGAAGAAATTAATTCAGTTATGAAGCCTGAGATTCAAATTCAAGTCACTTTTTAGAGGGTAATAAGATTTCACACTAGTTATCTTCTTCAATTGAGACCTCTGCTAGATTTCAATGTTCTAAACCAGCTCACGACTCACAAAATTGACTACCAAACTTCGAATAGAAAAGCACAAAGCAAAAACCAAGTTTACATCTTGGTAAATCAACAGAGGTTTTGTTATCTCAAACAAGTTAAAAGCACCTAGTCAGAGTTAATAGACTATAGAACAATGACACAACAAAAAAGCAACAAAGTTTTCAAATACAAAGCAACCATGAACACCAAAATACTTGATATCATACCAACATGTAGAGGTGAGAATTCTGGGGCTATCAAGAAGTTTCACAAGAACATTTGAATACTGCTAAATTTTTACATACAAAGGCAGTATATTTCAGCAAAAGGAAATGTTAGTTCTTTTTATTTTGTTGTGTTTTGTTTTCTTTCATTTATTTTTCCAAGCTCATGTAATGCACAGAGACAGTGAAGATAGCTCATGAGCGATATATGTTTTAATCAAATGGTGAATTTTGCTCATAAGCTTCCAATTGAATTAAATACTTCACAGTATTTGTGTGGATCTCTATACTTTATTTTCTGAACGTTTATTTAGCCTCATCGACAACTTCCGATAGAGAGGCAAAATATGGATCTCTCTATCTCTCTCTCTCATATATATATGGGCTAATAAGTTGCACATCTCCCATTAGAATTCATAGGGGCTGACAATGTCCACAACGAAATCCTCATATATCTCTTCCTAAATGTATAGATCATGAAAATAAATGCACCTCAAACGGCCTTGAATTTTTGTTCTTCCACTAATGACCAGTGCTCTGCTTTTTCAAAGTACTGGTCCAAGCTAAATTTTTGAGTATGGAAGTGTTTGAAGTTCCTTATGGTATCAGGAGGAAAAGGTGACCAAGATGAAACTGTTGAAAATGTTGAAGAGAGAGGACACAGACACACACCAAAAAAAAGAAGAAAGAACAAAAAGAAGAAGAATAAGAAGAAGATGACTTGTGTTCACAAAATTCCATCATATGGAGAAGAATAAGAAGGAAATAAACGTAGGATGACATAGAGTGCATCAATTTTAATGTCGCTAGAGGTTATGCTAGAAATATTAGTTCGTATCAGATTTTTATTACATTAACTAAGCAATAGAGGCAACCAAAGAGAAATACAAGAGTTAAGGTAAATATGTTTCATCACTGCTTTCCTTTGAAAGTAAGCCAATGCTTATGGCTTCAAAATGTAATCTCCAGAAGTTAAAAGATCACATTACAAGAAAAAGAGAAAAATAAAATAAAAAGAGTCACTTGAGAATAGACTATATGGTTTAGTATAAATGTAGTTTTACCTTCACAACTTGAGAAATTTACTCAATTTTTTGGATTCCCTGTCTATCATTTCGCATGAACTTCTTAATCACATCTTGCAGAGGATGATCCTGTCTTTTAGTTGTGAGTGTGATTAGATCAACAATCAAGGCAGAAGTAGATGCATCTGGTGAAAAACCCCTTCCAATCATTTCCTCAAGGAGCACCAATGCCTCATGGCACTTTTGTTGTCCAAGAAATCCTTGAATGACAATGTTGTAAGTGACATCATTTGGCAAACAACCATTCTCTTCCATTTTCACAAACAACTCTTTGGCTTCATCTAGTAGGCCTTCTTCACAAAGACCTTGTATCATAATAGTGTATGTCTTAACATCAGGATGTAATCCCTTGGAAGAAAGATTTTTGAAAAGAGCCCTTGCAGTATCAAGCTTTTTAACCTTGCAGAATCCATCAATGAGGATACTGTACATAACAATATTAAGCTGTAAATTGTTTCCTTCCATTAACTGCAATAATGAACATGCTTCTACTATACGCCCATTTTTGCACAACCCATCCAACAAGATAGTATAAGTTTGAGAATCTGGAATTATGCCCACAGCTTGCATCACATTAAAAAGTTCTTGAGCAGCTGAACATCTGCTTGATCGAAACAAACCTTGTAAAATAGTGTTGAAAGTTCCATTGTTGGGTTTCAACCCCCTTCGAGGCATTTCTTGAAAGAGATGCATGGCCTCATCCATTTTCATCTTCTTGCAATATCCGTTGATTAGAATGTTATAGCTACGAACATTAGGGTGAAGACCTCTATCCACCATGGTATTGAACACTCTAATTGCTTCGTCCATCCGACCTTGCAAACAGTATCCATCCATTAGAGTATTGTATGTGACTACATTAGGATCCACACCTCTTTGTATCATGACTTCAAGTACCTCCTCTGCCTCTTTCGCCATCCCCTCCTTAGTATGTGCATCCACCAACACATTAAATGTACAAATATTTGGAGAAATACCGCTATCAAGCATTTCTCTTAACATTCCGAAAGCCTCTGTCCACCGACCAAAACTACACAGGCCATCAATCAAAGAAGTATAAGTGACAACATTTGGACGAATGCCTTCTTCTTTCATTTTAAAAAAGAGTTTGAGTGCATCATCCGCCATTCTATCCTTGCAAAGACTGTCAATGATCGTGCTATACACTACGGTGTCAGGTTTACAACTTCCCTCTTCCATTATCCTAAGCAAACTAACAGCCCTGCTAGTGTTCCCTGTTCTGCAAAGCCCATTAACAAGGGTTCCATACATAACCACGTTGGGTTCAATTTCTCTATTTCTCATTAATTTGTTAAATAACTCCACAGCTTCAGGAGTTTTATCTTCCAAAATAAGTCCATTTATCAGAGTGTTGAAGATACATACATTAGGTGAATAACCGCATTTGAAAAGGGTACCCAAAACAGAGAACCCGAAATGGACTCGATTAAGGTGGCAATAACAGTTAATTGCAATGCTGAAGGTATAGAGATCGACCTGAATGCCTTGCAGGAACTGCAACTTGTGAATAAGAGAAAGAGCAGTGGCGTAATGACCCATTCTCGCAATAGTCCCTAACGCTTTATTGAATTGAGAAATTTGGGGCAAAGGTCCCGTTTTGAATATGCCATTGAACAACTCTACCGCGTCTTGGAGATCATTGTGCCCCAAACCCAATAAAGCTTGGTCTTTTTTGATTGTACTCGTTGTAAAAACAGGACTAGGGTTTACAGTATTAGAGTGAGAGTGAGAGTGAGAGTGAGAGTGAAAGTGAGTACCAAAGAAACGCAACGATTTGTTTGCTTTTCGGCAAGTATAAAAAGCTTCCATGAATTTGATTACAGCAAAAGCACCAAGCTTCGTCATCTTCTCCAACCTCTGCTCAGCTCTGCCCTATCTCTCTCTCTCTCTCTCTCTCACCTTGTGTTAATACGAATCCGATGATGATTTGGGGATTTCATTGGCCCCAAAATTCGGGTCATGGAATCTGATATGATACATTTCTATGACCCGATGTTGTCCAACAGGATGTCGATTATGGGTTTTACTTGTGCGGCTGCTTCGACAGGATGGAAAACCATTTTTTATTATTCTTAAATGGAAAAAAATTTGATCACCAAAATTATTATAATGTTGTCGTTAAACTGGATATTTATGATTTGTCTAATTTTTGGAGAAAAAAAATTAGAGACATCCATTAGATCACCTCTTAAGATTATTAGAGACTGTAATTGTTAATAATTTACAGATTTGTATCTATGGTGGCTTGTATAGTCTCAAGTTCTTGGCTAAATTGTTTGTTTTTAGACTATTCTTCCATTACTCAAAATTTCCTTATCTTATTTTTTCAAGTTTTTCTAAATCTGTTCATTAAGGCTACAATTGAATTTTAGATTTATGAAAATTTTGTTAAAAAAAAAATAAAAATAAATAAATGTAAAAAACCAAAACACAACATGAATCTCTCGCCAAACTCAAGGCCAGAGCTATGTTCATCTTAGTGGTGTCAATAAATATTACTAAAAAACTTCAAAAAAAAAAAAAAAGAAGTTAAACACATGTAATTTTATATAATTTTTTTGACTATTTGCATATTAAATCCAATGGGCCTAAAAAAAAAAAACTAACTCTCAAAATTTTATAGATTGGCCCGCTGCACCTAAAAAAAAGCTCACTCCCAATACATATACAAACAAAATCGAACTTTACTCATAAAGTTTAGTAATCTAGAAACAAACCCTAAAGTTTGTTTATTCTTTGTCATGATGCCGACATTGACAACTATTGTGTTTGTTTTCTCTCCTATGGTTACTCTCAAAATTTTATAGATTGGCCCCGCTGCACCTAAAAAAAAGCTCACTCCCAATACATATACAAACAAAATCGAACTTTACTCATAAAGTTTAGTAATCTAGAAACAAACCCTAACGTTTGTTTATTCTTTGTCATGATGCCGACATTGACAACTATTGTGTTTGTTTTCTCTCCTATGGTTTCTTTATTTGTTCTTTTTCTCTCCAATGTTCTATTCTAATTATAGAGACTTGTTCATTAGACAGTCATGATTTGTAAGACGTGTTGATCTATCTAATAATCCCTTTGGTCTTTTGATTGTGACATCAAGGTCATTTTTCTTTTATTCAAATGTTTTTCTAGGTATGATTCAATTACGTTAACAGATTTTTGTCAATATTTGGAATTTTATAAGAACAAAACCTAGGGTGTTTTGGGGGGGTTTATAAGTTTTGAAATTTTGGCATTTATAATTTTGTGTTGTTCCTTTATGTTTTGCATGATGCATTTTACACTTATTTTTAAATTGACATTATTTATCGCTTAAAGATTGAATTGAAGGAAGCATTTCCAACAGATAATGGATAGAGGTAGGTTGTACAAGCATTTTGTTAACATATTTCTAATTTTATTAGTTAACTGTATTGATGATTTGCTTACTAAATGAGCCCGCTAAACGAAATTTTTGGCTACATCACTGGCCAAACTCATACCAAACATATCAATCAACATACTGAAGACAAGATGAGAAGTGAAATGGATACAACCTCAAAATAAATAAATAAACTAAAAAAACATATTGTGGCTTTTAGTGAAACCACTTGGAAGTTAGTGATGTGAATTTTATCCATCTAGATATATGATTCTGCTAACTTCATTGTCCTCCGAAGCACAACTATCAATTCAGCTCAATCAAACGAAATAGTGAATCTAATGAAGGAATTAACTTAGTTATCAAGCCTGAAGTTGAAAATTCAATTCATTAGTGATTTTCGGTCACCAACCATTTGAGTTTTATGGAATTATAAGTTTCACACTATAATTATCTCCTTCTTCACTGAAAACTTGTGCTACGCGATGTTCTGTTGGAACATTTTTATAATATATTTAAATATATAATATAGTTATATGAATGATTAAAGAGATGTGATTTTTGAGTTTAAATCAAAAGGTATAACCATTGAATTTAAATAAAAAGGTGTGTCTTTTGGATTTAAACCATGGGGTGTAACTATTGGGTTTAAACCAAAAGACATGACTCTTGGATTTAAAGGGTGTCACTTTGAATTTAAAGGACACGACCTTTGGTCTAAGGGACACAAACCTATGCCTAGATAAAGGCAAAATGGGTTGGAAATTGGATATGAAATCATTCATATGAAATCTATGGAATTTCTCTCTAACGTTCATATTGTTATTTTCCTCTTTACATGGTGGATTAGAAAAATCCAACAGTATTCGGGATCTGATTTCGTTCGTGCATAACGTAATTAGACATCAGTCTTTAGACTTGGCTTCATTGTATCTTAGAGACAGATTTGCGGGTAACCCAGTGCACACCATATTTGATAGAATTGGTGGGGACGAATATCGTCTTAAGGAAAGTGACGTTGTAACGCGCCTTGAAGCAATACTAATTATTTTATGCTTTATCTTCTTTCATCTCATTTACCAGATTTGCACCAATAATCTTAAGACGATATTTTCAAAAGATGGAATTATATATATTTTAGAGATTAAAAAAAAGAAAAAAAAGAGATTCAATTTCAATTTGATTGATTGCATGGTAATCAAAGGGTCCATCACACAACAATTGCAGGTAAATTAAGAAAAAAAATAAGAAATTTTTTCCCCTAGACAATTCATTGTTTTCTATGGTCATGAATCTGGTACGCCTCAAACTTCCTTTAATTTTAATATATAATGCCTTTAGTTTTGACTTGAGCATGATATGGAGATTCTATAAGATTGATCATACTTTTTATATTTTGTGTCATAATATACATATAATCTCTAAGGTTTGGTTATGGGTATTAGAAAAATGAAACATGATTTTGATTATTTATTATATGGGTTCAAAACATATATACATTTTGCTTTTTTAAACCATAAAATGTCGTAGCCCCACTTTTTTCCTTATTATATTCAAAGGTATCATCATCATGTTTGTAACAAACTCCTATATTAAGGAGCCTCGCAGACTGAATTCATAACAGAGTATTTACATTACAATTCTCTTTCAATATTACTCTCTCATTTTATAATTTGTCTTTCAATATTTGTTTATCAATATACATATAATCTCTAAGGTTTGGTTATGGGTATTAGAAAAATGAAACATGATTTTGATTATTTATTATATGGGTTCAAAACATATATACATTTTGCTTTTTTAAACCATAAAATGTCGTAGCCTGCCATGGTACGGATTAGTGCCGAAGTAGGCGATTGCAAATCGTCACCATGTTTCACCAAATGAATAGGGAGGCTGGGCTGAATTCAAATTCTTAATTTGTAATAAAAGGACGTAACGGTTTGTTTTTGTAACTGTTAGTGGTGCGGGGGTTTGACTTGGTGATTTAATATAAAAGTATTAAATTCTAATCAATATGAAACAAGATATATATGTATGCATTTGATGAAAGTCAAATTGTAAGATACTAGTATTTCATGTTTTGAAATTAGTTTGTTATTGATCAATTTTGAATTTATGCCTTTTGCTTTCTCTATTGTATAATAGATATAATTTTTGTTGGTATATGTTTACAATCAATGAGTAATTCAGAAAGTAAAATCTTTGCGGCTTTCAGGGTTCGGTGACAGAACTTGGGTCAACTTTTATTTCTACAACATTTTACATGTTATTTGTGAAACAAATGATTTTGTTATTTTATTTACATATTATCAATTTACATGAAACTTTTAAGTTTTGTAAAATATTGTTAATATGATTTGTTTGAAAGTTTTGTTAAACTGTTTATATAGTTAATCTATATGTTTGTGTATATATCTAAGTTGATATGCATGATCTTTTCTTAATATGATTCTGCAGTTAGAACAAAAAATTAAGGAAATTTTCTTATTTTGAAAATCTGAATCTTATTATTATATGACTCCCATGAGTTTTGATTGTTGTTGAATTGAAACCTCTAATTTTAGTAGTCATTATTAGTAATTTCAATCAACTATTTGCTATGCATGGCCTCGTTTGGACGCTTGTACTGTCAAAGACCAATATGTTGTTTGGCAGTAACGTCAACCTGGCAAGCAATTAGATTTCGTTTAAAAACTAAACTGCAAATGGGCCCAAATACATGCCTTGTTATATCTATAGGCCAACTTATGGTTAAGTTGGTGCAGTTTAATTTTTGGTCCAACTTTGACTTTTTGGTTAATTTTTGAACCTGAATTTTTGGTTTAAATTTTCCCCCAGTTTGTAACTTTATGGGTTGGCGCCACTGTTATGTTTATTTAATTTAAAATCCTTGTTTTGGATTTAAGAAAAGACCCACAAGAGTTAGTATCTTTTATTTGGAAAAGTTTCAAGAATGTATTTTAAAATCAAATTATGATTTTAATTATAAAAGTCAAGATATTATTTTTGGTTTGTGACCTCTTGAAGTTGATAAAATATAGAGTATATGTTATATACTTGGTAAATTTTCTGAATAAATAAATTAGGATTTCTAATTTATGTAATTTGTATTTGAATGAAAATTTTATATTGATTGGTCAATTTATGATTCAGAATAAATATAAGCACAAATCATAAAACTTAAGATATAAGAAAGTATTAGTTCTAAATATCTTTAGAGTATCGATATGTTAAAGTGGGTATCCGGTTATTTGAAAGGATACATAGGCGCCTGCTTAAATACTAGCATTTAAACTATGGCTTAGAGTAAATAAATATTACTCTTAGTGGCGATTTATCTCTTAGAATTGAAGAGATAGTTCTTAGTCACTTGTAACAAAAGAGATGGAGTGACAGGATATTTTTGTCACGGATTTTTCTTGAATTTTTCAAGATGCAAACTCATCATTAATATGAGTTGATAGTTATGATAGTGATTGTTAGTCTGGACATGTTGATCACGTCATAAACTGTGGTAATACATAGTTATGTAAGAATTTTGTCTATGTGACTGTAAATTATCTTAAGAAATACTTGCAAGGAATTTGATGTGAGATCATCAAAAAGGATGTGTCTTAAGCCCAAGTAATATATCACTTCTGGTGGAAACTCGGCTCAATGCTTGAAGAAACATCAAG